TGACTCAGTTTGTCTCACGTGGATCTTTTAATTTGAATGGTGTTGACCTCACTTTTTGTCAACCCTTCAGTCACCTCAATCATTTAAAATAAAAATAAAAAATAAAACACAACAAATGGAAATCAAATATAATCAACTTCAATTAAATCTAAAGTTGGATCAAAATGCAACTCAATGAAAGAATATTCATAAAGTATAATTTTTTACGCTCTGAAATTATTGCTTTATCTACAAGTTATTGTATTACTTGAAATTTCATGCAACTACATTTAGTTCATTATCATTGTATGAATACATGAAATATGTTTCGGTGGCTATCAGACAACTTTTTACATGAAATTTTGAGCGGTGAGCTTTTATGCATAAAAATTTGTCCCACATAAAAAATTTCAATGGAGGGTTGTTTTACAAAATTGACCCAAATCGAACTCCATTTTGAGGCTCATTTAGTCTAAACGATTATTTGGACGAAATTTGGTGAGAAAATTTGGACGATAATTATAATTTCACTCTCAAAATGAATTCAAATCAATTTCAAACTCAAAATATAGTCAAATTGAGCCGAGAACATCAAAACTGACTAATTTGAAGTTCATTTGATCTCTCGTCAATAGTATCCATTTTCCTCAACTTGGAGAACACTTCTTGACCAAAACAAATCGCCCGTACTCCTGTGAGAAAATATTTCATGCTGATAAGGTTCTTGGGGTTCAACGAGCCAAAAATCCTCAAAATCCTCGAAATCCTCACTGCGAGTGGCGTGTAGCTAGGCTAAAAAGTAATTGGTTGTGATCACACCACCCCCTCTTCTCCTGCTCGAGTCCAATAACCACTTGACGAGTTGCTTCGCCACTGTCAATCCGTGGGAGGTCCATGGGTGATCCGTGTGATCTCTAATCGTTCCCACTTCATCTGACAGTGATCTTTTCCCCTCTGGTCAACAATTATTGGGGGATCGATTCGAGGGAGCTAACTGTTCCAGTCGCCGACACTCAAACCCTCGACTCCTATAAATAGGCCCTCCCCGCCCCTTCTCTTCCCCTCTGTCATCTCCCTCATTCTCCTCCCACTCATCCTGTGGTTCTCTAATCTGCTTTCCTCATCTTCCTACGTGCTCTCGGTGGTGTGCTTGGTGGTCTGATCTGTTTTGGTAACTTTTCTTATTCCACTCAAGTTTCATTTTTATTTTTTTATTTTTTTATTTTTTTAATTTTTATTTTATTGTTTTAATTAATCGAAGTATTAGAATAGGCTCGGGTTTGGGTTGGACTTAGGCGACCTCGAACCCAACCTAGCCCAAACCCGGCCTAGCCCAAAACCAACCCGAACCCGAACCCAAACTAGCCCAACCCTGACGTACCTGCTGCAGCCCTGATGCGGTTGAAGGCAAGAAGTTTATTGGCCCAGAGGACTTTCCACCCAAACGAAGAGAATCCTTCCTTTCCAAATTTGCCCCCCCCACCCCCCCTTCTTTCCTATTTTTATTACCTTCCTATTCTAATTCTTTCCCATTTTCCTTTTCTATGCCTTCTTATTCCATCCCTTTCCATTCCTATTACCTTCTAATTCTATCTAATATCATCTATTACATTTATATGTTGATTTGCTTGCTTAGAGGGTAGTCTTGATTTGTCTTTAATTTTAGAATTCTACCTCCAACATTTTTCCCTTCTGAAAGTTGTATTGGACGGCGAGAATGTGCTCCGATTGCAACTCATCCGAGGTGGTGATTATCTCCACTTGTTCATTTTCTTCCTACCACCGCCTACCATCCAACGCCAGTCCAGCTACCACAGGCCAACCCCTGCACCTGCGCTTAGGGGTGTAAAAGAGCCGAACACGAGCGAGCCATGCTCAACCCCTTGTTGGTATCATTTTTTATAGAGGGCAACTCTCACTAGCAAACAAAGAGTCCATTTAACAATCCTAATCATGTAGTCATAAGATAATAAGGGTTTGAGCAAGATTTAAAAATTATTATTTATATTAAAACATCATCTGAATCTAATTTAATAATTTGTATTCTATTTTCTTAATCAATATTTTAATTGATTATAAATCTTTGTAACCTTGTAGTAATTAGATTTTTTTAAAATACTACTTTATATATATATATATATATATATATATATAGAGTAGAATTAACGAGCCGAACATGAGCTTCTTAATGAGCCGAACACGAGTTGTTCGCGAACAACGAGCCGTTTTGATAGCCCTACCTGCGCTGGTGTTGCCAACTACCTCCAACATCTCCCAGTCAGGTCGCCCGCCATCCCATACCCATCCAACAATCACCGATCACCCATGCACCCTCCCTGACGCCATTAACTGTCTCCAACATCTTCCAACCAGGTCACTGCAACCTTTAGCAATCTCAAACCTGGCCACAACTTCCTCCAACCCTAACAGGCCTACCGATCTTCCCTCCAGACCATCCAAACCTGCCGCAACTCATCTCTAAAAGTTCAAACTGTTGCAACACCTCTCCCTTAGTCCTCCAACCGCTGCCTACAGACCAACCGGTATCAACTTCACCGCTCTCTTCCTAGCGAGCTGCTTTGTGTTTGTGTTGTTTTATGTTGAAGAGTCGTCATTGTAACTTTTGAATTTTAGCAATAAATATTTTCATTCAGTCATGATTTTGGTTAACTTCAGTATCATTCACTTTTTAAAAGTTAAAATGGAGGTATTTTTATGTGATATGAAAGATTTGGGAGGTATATATAAATACATAGGAATTGGGTGTTATGTATGTAAATGCCACTATTACTGATGCAAGACCTTTATAGGTCATTTATGACTAGGGATGTAAACAAGCCAGCCGAACACAAGTGAGCCTAGGCTTAGCTCGTGTTCAGCTCGTTAAAAGAATACCACTGTTCGTGTTCAGCTCGTTTATATTTTGAACACAAAAAAATTGTTTATGTTCGACTTGTTTGCTTAGTGAGTCAAACACGAGCTGTTTGCAGACAAAGAGCCGTTTTGACAACCCTAGTCACACAGCCGAATTATGACTAGGGCCTTTGATAAGCAAGTTATTGTTCCCTTCAAATGTAAGATTTGTATTGACTTCTCATCAAGTAATTACCGATAAAAAATAGAATTTGAAGGCATACATTCATATAGTTGCTCATGTAAAATTTTGTCAAAAATATTCTTTGTTATAAGGCTCATACTACACAATGGATCTCGACAATCAAGATAATCGAAATCAATCAAATGGCCAAAGCCTCCCTTAAAACTTGTTTGTTGTTGTTCCAACTATTTTAAATCTATAGTGTAATCAAAATCCTGCGTCGCCTGTAGATCTTGTGATGGAATTTGTCAATTTGTAAATTTAGTGTCTGACCAATGTTTCAAAAAGTTGGTAAGAGCCTTCTGTTTATGCAAGAGCATTTACTTTACCATCAGTAGAGATTAAGAGTAGATTCCGAATGATTATACTTTTGCAATGAATGTGAGTGGCTCATGGTTTTGATTGTAGTATTCCTAAGATCAACGCTCAAGTGGAAAGGTTTCAAATTCTATTTTTCTAATCTCGGTAGGAATATTTCTCAATTTCCTATGGTTTACCATACTCCAAATAAAACACAATAACTCAGCTAATTACTTCGGCATTGATAACTTGTGAAAATTTTATGGAGTAGCTAATTACCTTCAAATGGATACTCTCTTCTTTGCTCTCATGTTATCATATATTTTGTATTTTGCTTTAAATTTTTCCTTCTAGCTACCCTTTATAATTGGTTTTGTTGCATTCCTTTCATAAATTTGTTATAATATTTTGCTTAAAAAAATGCAACACAATTTTTTTTTATCTGCCTCCTCATTTTTAATAATGACTACACAAATACTTTAATGATTTGAATTTTATCTTACCATCATGTATTCGTTATTTACAACGTAAGTCCATGTTATGCTTGCACTACAATTTTATCTTGGCATAATTTTTATAAAATAAATGCCCAATTTACTCATAAGGATTAACTAAACAATATAAAGGAAGACAACACAAAACAAATGACTAATTATAATTACACACATAAACGGCTCAACAATGATATCCAAACCTAAATATCTCATACAATATCAATTGTACAACATTCGATTGCACGGCATAAGATATGCTACTTAATAATCTATAAGCAAGATGTAAAAAAAAGAGATATATCAGTCTGGTAAATTAAAACGGTTTCACTTAATTAGCAATTAAATAGAGAGAGGAAGAAATGAACGGGAATCTGTTTGCAGGTTGCAATTGCTTCACTTAGTATTAATTACTTTCCCCTCAATACGTTCACAGAATAATTAAAACATTACTGCTTAATGCTTAAAGACTTATTTTATGTAAATAATAACTATAAGGCATGCTGAATCCGACTTTGTAATGCTCGTATTGCCCTCTTGTAAAATTAAATGAAACAAGGTCCTATCACAAATACATTATATGGTGTGTCCTTCAGTTTTTTTTTTTTTTTTTTTTTTTTTTGGAAATAATATGGGCATTCGAGCACTAGTCCAAAGCATAAAATCAATGAACATGGCATAATCATGCCATTTTAATTAGCTTAAATACATATGTTTTTGTTAATGTATCGATGAATGCAAAAGCTTAAGTCTTCTTTTCTTATAATCTAAACATAAAAACACTTGCTTTTCAGAGATTTTTCAACAACAAGTTCAAGTCATGTCACGTCTATGTCTACGTTTCACAACAAAAAGAAAGAATCATTTATAATAATCCAATCTCCACATTCGTCATAATGAAACCCAAATTGGCTAGAAGAAGAAGCTACAAAGACATGAAAAAGAGAAGGCAAAATTAAATAGTGAAATGTAACAAATTAAAGTTCGGTGCCCTTCAACAAATTATCAGTCACTCATAATTGCTCAATTAAAAAAAACCATCATGATTAACAGAGAAAATGAAAGTAAAATGAGGCAAAGAAGCATTACTTCCAAAGATCTAATAACACAGATTAAATGCAAAGAAAAACTACCTGAAATCCACAATCAGTGCTTTGAATCGTGTAATAAAGACCAGCCACCTGGGCATAATAGGCTAAAGTAGAGGATACAATTAGCCCAAAACTTAAAATTTGAAAATTTTGAAAAATAGCACAAGATCACTTATGAAGCCAGCATAAACACAAATAATAGAAAAAAATTACAAAAATGAATTGATAAAACATGGAGGCATGGGTATTCAAATGTAAACACCATTATAGAAATACATGACATGATTGACAGATAGATTTATAAATTAATCATGCCCAATAATATAGAAAAATAGATTAAAATGTGTTGTCTGAGAAAAAGGGTACAAGTCATTTACCATATTCATTCAAATAATCGATCAACAATCGGGTAAAAATATCAGTAAGGACTGAAGCTTCAGGCGACTGGTTTGACAATGGGCAATTGAAATCTATTTTGACATGAGCTTTAGGAGTAAAAAACATAGTATCAGGTTTGTACCATAATCTTGAGAATGGTGATTTCCTTATGAGACATGGACATCGAACCTGTTTATGAACTTTGCAATCTTAGATACCACAACGCAATTAGGAAGATTTACATACCTAGCACACAATTTTTAACATATCTCACATCTAAGCTTCCATATTGACATACATAGCACTTTAGTGCTTTAAACCTATGCATGAAAAGTTGTATTTGGCTTTTAAAAAGTGGTAATAGTGTTATTCTCTATGTGATATTAAATATTTGAGTGCTATGTGCATAAAAAATATGAATGTTTAGGTGCAAGATATTTGAATACATAAGAATTGTGTGCTGCGTATGTAAATGCCCCAAGAAATTATTAGGTTCATGAATAATTAAACATGTATGTTCATATATGATGTTTACTTTATCTGAAATTTGCTTTATTGTCAGATCAGTTGCAATGAAAATGTTGGGAATTGGAAGATGCAAATTTTCTTGAGGAGCGTTCTCCATCCATTGCTACAAAACACATGTATATTTAGTCACTCATCATTTTTCAGAAATATTCAGTAAAACATAAACTACAATAGAGAAAGAAAGAAAAGAGAAAAATATGAATCCTTTGAAGGATTTTTGAAACAAAAGTTTGCACCACAAAAATTCAATAATCAACCTGAATGGTGGAAGGAGGTAACTTCTGAACAGAATAATTAGTTCCGTACCATGGCTCAACTGAATCGGTACACCCTTCAAACGATCTGGATTCCCAGAATATTCTGATTGGAAAGAAAAATTTCTAAGCATAAACCAATTGAAAATTTTAAATAAAAATTTTAGGGGCATTTATATATATACCATCCAATTCCTATGTATTTACATATCTAACACCTAAACTTTATTGTTTTTACACTTACACCACCTAAATCTTTCATATCACAAAAAAAAATATTGAAATTGAACTTCAGGTGTTGAATATGAAAATACATAAAAGTGAAATACACCTTTGTCTGCATATGCTAGGTAGCATGTATGTAAAAATTGAACTTCAGGTGTTGAATATAAAAATACATAAAAATTGAGTGGTATGTATGTAAATCTTCCAAAATTTTAATGATAATATCAAAACTGATGCCAAAACAACAAGGAAAATTTATAAGGAAGCTATCACATTGTACAAGAACAAGTTGACACCAGCAGCAGAGGAGAGAAGAACTTCCTGCCATTTTAGCTTATAGTTTATGACTAACATAATAGCATTAAAAGTTACAACATGGCCAATACAAAGATATCCTGTAGAAGCTATTGACAAATATACTCCATTAAGAGAGTCCTATCCAGAAAAACAATCCATCATCAGTTAGCTAGTCGATGCTATAATTATCCTGCCTGTTTTCAAATAGCTGTTTTTTGATGCTATTTTTAGTGATTCAGTCTCTATGTTATTTTAGTATGATAATTAAGTGTTTTCTTCATGTCAAGTGACAATTTTTATTAAAAAAAACTACTTTTTCTCTCCTATTTAGGTTGTGCAATTTGTCAAATTTTAATGAACGTCTAAACATTTCGGTACCTAGCCATTAGAATAATTAGTTGATTTAGGCCATTCAAACTAATTTTACTGAAAAAAGTTATTTTTCTGCTGCCATGAAATTCGGATGGCCTCTTTGCAAGGACGTTTGATGCTCTTTACATTTTTCTCTGACAAACTCAGAAAGCTCTGCAGACTAGAAGTTAACTTTCCTTCTTCTTATCCCAAATCTTGGTCTCCTTTATCCATCCCTCCAACGAAGCACCAAAATCATGCTAACTCCAACACATTGAAACCATATCCAAAAAAAAAAAGATTGTGGGTGTTGACCTCATATCTGCTCCACCTTCAATCCACTTGAATGCAGCAATAGCAACAGATGATGGATACATATCACTCAAGTTCAATTTTGAATGCATCACACAAATTAAAATCATAATGATTGCTTGTTTGGTGAAACGAACTTGCATTGATGCGGCTGGTGCATCAAAGTTACCAAAAAAGTGTCCCTCAACTAATTTGACCAAGTATGATAAAAAATTGAGAACAACAAACGTAAAGCCACATTGGTGTAGAATGCAACTTCTTGACTACATAAAAAAATTTGTCTAGGCGCAACACATTTCATAAAAAAACTTTGTCAACATGTCAAGGGTGCCAAAAAAGACCCTTGGTGTCACACCTATCATCGCACAATAATAACAATGGATAATGGACACGATGTCACGCAAAATTGCTCAACTGGGGCTCTCTATGTAAAATATGTTGTCATCGGAATAAAGGAAAAAACTTTTAGGGTAGACACCATATTGCCCTATCCACGACACAATGTCAAAGCAAAAAAAATTGCTAGCAACTGCACCCAATTCAAGATTAACGAAAAAAATAAGGATTTGCTCAAGACATGCTACTATTTATTTTCTTTACTTTCCTTTTTCTTTTAAAAATTTATCATTAAAATATTAAAACTTAATTGTGAGGGAAAATCTTCCTATCTTCTTATTCCACAATCGAAAGCAAATGTTACATTTATATATAGTCCTAGCACTATAGATTAGAAATGTTGCTAATATAGAAAAAGGTAATTAGATCTCATCTAATTATATTACCTAATATCAAGCTTCCTAATATACAACCATTAGGTTTAAAACTTTTCATAACATTGACCAAGTAGCCATCTTGTCCCATAACCTTATAAACATATCAAATCCCAAAATAAAAAGGTAGGAAAAAATCTAAATAAAGCAAAATACCAATGTTCCCAAAAATACAAAAATAAAAACAAAGAATGGAATATATGATTAATTTTTCCAACAAAGTTGAATATCATCACCATCTTCTCTGCAAACTTACATATTATCCCAATCCTTCCCCTATTTGAATGCATATAAATGGCCAAAAACTTTTAAAATCACTAATAGTTTTCTATGAATTCATACAAACTCATGATGGCCAAAAACAGCAAAACCAAATGCAGGTTAATTGAATAAATTTAGAAAAAACAAATATAAAAAACCAACTATTCCTTAAATGAAAGTAAGATAAAATATAGACTGACATGAAGTCATTAGATTTCGTAACAAGAGGCACATGTTGGTTTACCAGTACGAATAATTTTTATTTGAATGATAAAAGAGTAATTTTTTGTGGTTACTCATGCAATCAAGAGGAATAAATTGAGCTTAAATGATACTAAAGAATAAAAGGCTCAGGAATAAATGACAAACTAGTTCCGAAGCAGAAAAACCATCAATAATTCCGATACTAGAAAATATCCAAGCAAAAAGCTATTTCAAACAGCAAGAAAAAAAAAAGCACTAAATACAAAATTATTTGCACCTGACCCTCTTTGGACTCAGCTCATTCAACATTGTTTGAATGGTGCTTGGATTAAATTTGGAAGGCAGCGACGACTGTACAAGCCAATCTTCAGGAGGGTACAACTGAAATACCGTTTTGCAGACCAGTATTAAAAAAAGCTTAAAATATTATTCAGAAAGAAAATCACAATACGTTTCTATGTTACAATGCAAATATTAGCAAATGTTTTGACTATGGCTATGCTTGGCATTGCATTCTGATTACAGTGATACCGCACGGCACAATTTTATTGATGACATAAACAAGGTCATAATTAAGACTCAAAAGAAAGAAAAACAACAAAAAAAATAGAAGCGTAAAACCAAGGATTACAAATACAATCCCAACAAAAGAAGACACAACAAGCTTGACGAGGAGCGAGCTCGAGCGGTGGTGCAAGGCAGGTGGTTGTGGTGAAGGTCGGAGTAGGAAAGTGGCTGGCAGCAGTGGAAGAGGGAGTTGGGGTGGTTAGATTCCGAAATGACAGCAAGGAAACAGAAGTATGGTAAGATAAATGCCTCTTCGAGGTCGAGCTACAACCGAAGCACTATTCGAACCCTTAAAGACAATCACCACCTCGGACGAGAGACAGTCAAAGCACTACCTCGACGTCGGAGACAACCCTCAAAGGAAAAATATCAAGGCTAAAATCTGAATTCATATATAAAAAACAAGCCCCCTAACTCTAAGCACATCATCCTCTATTTATAATGGGGCTAGAACATTGTTTTAGGCAATACTTAAAATAAGAAAGAAGAATCAGAATTTCAGATTTAGATAAGGAAATCAAGTGAGGGAAAATTAGATTTAGGGAATGGTAAATAAAGTAATCAAAATTCAAATATTCGAAAAGAATTAAAAATAGGAAAGGTCTTAAAATAAAAAAGGAGAATAAAATATAATCAGAATTTCAGATTTTAGAAAAGAATTTAAAATAAGAAAGTGCTAAGAAGGGAGGAAAGGGAGGAAAGGAAAGGGGAAGAGAGGAGCGGCAACCCCCCCTCCTTTTGAGAACCGATCGGTCCTCCATAGCCTCAGCATCAGTCTTCAAGGGTTGGCAGCTTCGACGTCATAGATCAAAGCTTCCATGTCGTTTTCAGCAACCCCTGGATCCCACTGACAATTACACCGTCTACCAAAGCATCGGAGGAGCTTTTCCCAGTTGCAAGCATATCTCCTTATCGATATGTTATAGCTGGCATAATCTGTGCCAGAAATGCACCACCACGTAGGTTCTCCTGAACAAATTTCAAACAAATAAATATCTCCTATGCTTCTCATTTATGACAAGATCGACGGGCCTCAACGAGGTTGAGGGATTTGCAAGAGTTCGGTTGATGGGTGATTCTTATTATCTTTCGGGTCTTTCCTTCGACTCTTCAAGTTTTGCAGAACTAACATCTTCTGCCGCGTTCCAATAACAAGAGCTTCACATTGTCCTTTCGTCTCTTCAGATGGAATATTGGGGGTGAGGGTTGGAAGTGTAGCTGTCTGTGATGTTATCAGTTGGTCGTTATTAAAACCATCCACTGGAATTTTAAATTTTGACACTTCTGATCTGCATGATTTTTATATGTGTCAACAAAAAGTTCATCTTCTAGGAGAGCAAGAACTACTATCTCATCAAAAATCATGTATTTCTTTTGATCACATGGAGAAAAGACATTGGATGTATCCATGAATAAGTGAGTTCCACGGGAAAGACGTCATCAAATGGAAATTCTCTTTCGAACAGCTCTTCAGTGTCTTTGGTGTCTTTACCCAACTTTTTGATGACGCCCTGATCGGTGAAGTAGATCACTCCTCTGGTTGTGCATTCTGCATCAATATGTCCAAATCGTGGCACTTGCAACATCTTCTGATTGTGACAGATTTGCAGATTAGTTTTGTTGAATAGTACCACAGATTGGTTTCGCCGAATAGTAGCACGAGGGGTCACTTAGTGTAGCAGTCTCTCCACTTCGAAAGCTAGAATCTGTAACTTTTGGCGGTAGAAAGTTGATAAGAATTAGCGCTATGTTTCCCGCTTCATCTTCTTATTTCCTCGTTCTTCCCTTCGACCTTCTCCCACTGGATTTTATTTTCAATATCTATAAGCCTCTATTGGAGGCGGCGAAGTTCTCGTCATATCTCTTCCCGGGTAGGTTCGGGCATATTCATTCTTGGCAGGCATAATTGATGGTTTTGGAATCTGTGGAAGGAATGAAAAAAGTAACAAAGAAAGAAGAGGAAAAAAATAAAAGAAAGAAAGAACAAAAAAAATTTGGTGTAGTGGATTAGGTAGGGGCGAATGCTAGAAACCCTGGGATGGGACTAAGGTTGGGTTAGCTTTAATACCAAACGATAATGGAGTTAACCCAAACCATGACGCACGACATAATTTTATTAATGACGTAAACAAGGTTACAATGAAGACAACACACAAAAAAAGCGTAAAACAAAAGATTACAAATAAAGACTCGACAAAAAAAGACACAAGCATGACGAGGGGGGGAGCCCGAGCGGTGATGCAATAAAGGCCGAAACAGGAATTTGGCTGACAACAGTAGAAGATGGGGTTGCAATGGTTGGATTCTGAAATGACAACAGAGAAACAAAAGTATGGTAAGATAAATGTCTCGTCGAGGTCGAGCTAAAGCTGGAGCACCAATTGAAGCCTTGGAAACGATCACCACCTCGGACGAGGGACAGTCGGAGCACCACCACGACGTCGGATACAACCCTCAAACAAAAAATATCAAGGCTAAAACCAAAATTCAGATATAAAAAATAAGACCCACATCACTAAGCACATCATCATCTATTTATAATGAGACACGAAATTTACTTTAGGTAATAATTAAAATAAGAAAGAAAAGTCAAATCAGGATTTCAGATTTAGATAAGAACATAAAGTGAGGGAAGATCAAATTTAAGAATGGATAGATAAAGTAACCAAAATTCAGATTTTGGCAATGACTTAAAATAGGAAATGTTTTAAAATAATAAATGAGAATAAAAGATAACCAGGATTTCAGATTTTAGGAAATGATGCTAGGAAGGAAAGAAAGGAAATAGGGGAAAGGAAAGGGGAAGAGAGCAGCGATAGCCCCCCTCCCTTTGAGGACTGGTCGGTCCTCCATAGCCCCCATACATGTCATGCAGTGTGGCTATGGCATGGTAGTTTCTTACTAAGCCGCACTTTTGGTGCAGTACTGCACTGCAGGAAGGACTAATTTGCTAAAAACACCTCTATTAAAAGTTGTTGATGCCAGAAGAGAGAATAGGATGCATTGATATGTAATTTATGAAATTATTCCTTAAGCAACGTGCTAACAAGAAATTCTCAATCTCCTTTATGAAAAGGAGAAACCTAGTCAAGTATCTCTATTATGATCACTGAATAGAGAAAATTAAGTGACAAAATAACTCTGAAAGATTTATTTAAAGTCATCATGCTTGTGCACAATTGACAACAACAATGATAAATTACAAATAAAATACATGGTAACAATCCCAAAACTACCTAAATGACAGTTTCGTACGATAATAAACAACATCAAATACTGGAAGCAAGCAGTGTAAGCAAAATTAAAGTAACACATGTTCATCATCTTAGAGGGTTAATAAAAGTGATCATTGAAATAAATCACAAGTAAAATCATTTGATTTATGTCCACTTGAACTCCTAAAGCAAGCCCAAAAAAAATTGATGTGCTAATGATGATAATGATGATGACGACAAAGAAAATGTTGAATAGCGGGTAACAAAGTAAATAGGCTCTCCATCGTGATCAAGTGATTATGAAAGAATAAAAAGTCCTATTTCTATCACATCCTGTGTTATGAATTCATAGACCTACAAAAATATTAAACTGTTGTGTAGATTATTTAAATTGGAAATCCTTGAGTTGTGGCACCATATGGAGCACCATGATTGGTGTGCACTTAATACACAAGCCACGTTAAAAACCATAATGGAGCCCTTCACAGAAGTGGGGCGCTATGCTATTAGACTGACATCTACGGTGTTGTCCGCCTCATGCTTTACTTAGTTGACGCTGAGACAGTCGAATAATTTGAAACTTATGTTAGGCGTCAGACTAAAAGGATAATTTAGTCATTTGTTAGTTATTATTGTAGGGTATAAATATGGCTTAATATATTTAAGGTTATGTTATGTGTGATTGTTGTCTTGAATCTTACGATTAGGGTTTGGGAACAATCACCTACCTCTCGAATTGTATGTGTTTATCTTTTATGTATTTGAGATTGTATCGTTTTGATTTGTTATCAGCGGAATAGAATATATTATTTCTGCCTAATTCCTATTATAACTTGTCTTATTTCTATCATATTCACTCCGACATAGAAACACAATGACACAAGCACCATCTTTATGAAATTAGTAAAAAAATATCAACATTAATAATTGAAAAATTCATAAGAAATATCGTAAAAGGAAAAAAAACAACATATTCTATCAATAATTAACGCTGCCTCCAACAAGACCTTAAAGGTATTACATATGGAATTGCAAAATCGATGGAAAAGGGAGTGCATGTGTGACTTGAAATAAAAATCAAATCATTCACCTCCATTCATTCCAGGGTGACACCATTATGCTCATCTTGCTCTCTTCTCTGGCTCGACCACGCCTAACCATACTCACAAGCCTTATCATGCTAAATACATATGTGCTGACGAGTTCTCTGCTAGTTGTGCGGTCGTTTACGCTCCTGCTTCGCTTCCACAAGTCTGTCTTTGCTTAATTTCTCACACATAACCATGGCACCTTACATGCCTCTTACTCGACTCGCAATCTGTTCTACGGATCTCTGGCATCAAATCTCATGGTATCAACATCCTATTTTTCTTGCATTAGATTGGGGCTTGTGGAATTTGTTTCTCAAGTAGCTCAAGCTTCCCTCTAATAGCCATTGAAATTTTGCTCATTTTCCATGTCCACGGTTCAACTAGATTGTTGGCGTTTAGCTCTGAATTATGCCAAGTTCACTATTTTCATTCTTCTCTGAATTGGAGCTTTCTCCCACTACTCATATGGCATTGCCTTCTTAAGTGTTGTAGTTGGCTCTTGCATCGAAGTCTTTGATGAATATTCTTGTTGCTTCATTGTCATCCATCCTTATACACCAAGTGTCTTTGGATTGCCTAATAATTGGTGTTGGTCTTCATAATTTCACATGCTTTATCTCTATGGATTCTAGTGTTTAGCCTAAATGAATTATTGCTCCCTCCTTTTTATTGTTCATGTTAGGAGAAAAGCCCATATTAAGTCATTCAGACCATCAAGCTTCTTATTATTCTATCATCATGGCACAAATTCTCTTCGACAAAAACTTACGGCTGACCTTCATCAATTCTCTAAATGACAATTTCATTTATTTTTGCACTTTGGTAGGAAAATTTTCATTTGATTGCACAACCCAAGAGATTATTTGATCCTTCATGTATGATCTTTATATGTCAAGTGATTACTATGTTGGTCTTTTTGATAAGTGTCACATGCTTATCAGATAATCGTTTGATACAAATTATAGTGGACTTCTCTCTAGGAATTCATATTATGTGAATAGCCTAAAATTGTGTATGTTGAAGTGATCGTCTTTCATTGATATTTCTGAGGAGCGCCCTATTACATTTGTTTAAGTTATTTTCCATCATCTTAGGGTTCATTACATTAAGAATCCATATTATACTCTTTAAATTCAATATTTGAAAAGCAATTATAAATGAATGATGCAACTGCTAGCTTATTAGTTTGTGGCCCATTTTCTGTTAAGCTAGGAATTTTTCCCCTTTGACACAGGAGGTAAAAATTGACACTTCATCACATGCCTATTGATAAAAGATCGAAACTGAGAGTTCGCCATCATATTGCAAATGTTACAAATTCTTTAGAAATGATTTTATCGATTGCTTTAAAGCCCATAAAAAATTAAGCAAATCAATCATCCTAAGGTTTCACTACTAAAATTTGCTCTTTCGATCACTACACAGAATAAATCTATTGCAAAAACTCATGATAAAATGTGGTACAATAGTATGTCGGATTGTGCTTCCTTTAGGTTAGTTCCCTTGGGGTACAATCATGATCTGGATATTACACAAGATTCATAACACGAGTTAGCATTTTCACTAATTGCTTAAGGTTTGTTGATTGAAAATATCCCCTTTGTTTCTCTAACTTTGAAAGTGTCTTCTGATATATCTAGACATTTGTCAACCGTTTGAAAATCATCTTGCGTCTCTTACTATTTCTTCTACATGTGATACTAAAATAGTATTCAACAATAGTACAGTTGATTGTTAAGATATAAAGGCATAAAACGATATTCTAACATGTTTCAATCTCATGAATTTATAAAGATGTTTGGTTAATATAGTGCATAAAAGATTTCTAATAATATTTTATTGTCAGGCACTAATCAAAAGAAAGCCATTCTTTCCAAAGATTTGCTAGATGCTTTATATTTTATTGTCTCTATGCTTTATATCAGGTAGATTTTATGAATCGTCTTTGCATTTCATGATGATAGTCCTACGTAACCGCATTTTCATTGTTTTAAGGTAATAAAACTAATTTAAGGTGGATGGTGGACTACTGATGTTTTAGGATTCTAATATCTAAAACCTGAAACAATATGGATTCCAATATCCAAAACCTAAAACAATAAAATTGGAAAGAACCTCCAGCATGCAAAAACCAAAAGAACTATGAGTTCTAAAAACTTATGATGCTGAGGGATTATTTTCCGTAAAAAAATTTCATGTGCGACTACCATGCAATACACTACATAAATACTTGGTTTAATGTCATAATAAAATTTCCAAGTTTATTAGGCTAAAAGAAACGCTTTCCCTCAAAAAATTTCATGTATGACTCCCATGGACGCATTGTATAAATACTTGTTTTAATGCTATATTAGTAAAGTTCATACTACCATACAGAGTCGTGTGACATTGTTAAAACAATCTCATGCTCCAAATAAACACATTGCAACTACAACATTTACAAGAACAACAACAAAGATGCTTTTCATTCAAACGTGATATATTATGCTAATGGAAGCAAAAATTCCAAATGAAGGGTTATGCGGGGGCTAGGGGCCTGAACTGACCAAACCGATTCAGTAGGTAGATTGAATTTGACCAGACCTTGCTTATGGTTGGGGCTACCGCCCACGGGGAAAGAGATTCCCCCCTCCTAGTTATCCTTTATTATAAATATATGTTGTTTTGTGTTCGGGTTTAGCTTTTTGCATGTGTTTCTGTCAGGACAGCTATCGACATCCCCTATTTTCCCGTCTAGGGAAGTATTCAACGACAGGTAGTGCTCCGACTGTATCCTGCTTCAAGATCATGACTATCTCCACATGATTGTAGCCACCACCCCTACACTGCTCACCTGTTGTTGCTACCCTCTTCTACTTGTTTCCTACTCCCAGCCGGCAACCCTCCCCGCCCCTTTGCTTTGTTACCACAACCCCGATACTCCTTACAACCACTACACTTCCTACCCATGTCCTGCTCCCAGACGGCAACCCTCCCTGCCACTTTCCTTGCTACAGCTGCCCCGATATTCCTCCTTACCACCACTACACTTCCTACCCGTGTCCTAATTCCATGTCGGCACCCTCCCTATCACCTTCCTAGCTATCACAGCCCCTACACTCCTCCTTACAGCCAACACTTCCTACTCATCTCCAAGTACAACCATAATCCCCTTACCACTGCCTACTAACCGCAAACCTATCGCACAACCAATCCGCCTACCGCTACTACCCAGTCACCCCTCATTGCAGCCCACTGGTTGTCCTATTCAGCCCTAGCAGGATATTGACATTTGTTGTGTTTTCTTTTCCTGTTTTAAATCGTGATTGTAACCCCCGTTATTTTTTGAGTAATAAAATCTGCTTGCCTATTAGATTTTGGGTTAACTCCGGTATAAAAGGGATTGTCAATGACAAAAGAGCGGCAATAGTAAAGCAAAGAGAAATAAATTTTTAATCAGGAAAAGTGATGAACATATGGATGAGAGAGAATAGAGAAAAAAATATGAAAATATGCAAAAGTATCATAAATTTCCCGTCAACTATAACAAAGGAGCAACATTTTCTAGCCAATTATGTGTCCATAGTATCTGAAGTGTACTAAGCACACCATTGGAAATTTTAAATCAACTAACAACAACACACAGATATCCAGACACTTAATAGCTCAACACATGAATATCATCTCTAAGGGAAGAAAAAAATGCTGAAATAGATCCATGGAAGATAAATATGTTTGATATTGAAAAATAATCAACTTTAAACAACGGATCCCAAAAAATTTTGAGCATAGCCAACTCACTTCCATATTTGAGGCAATGCTCATAGCGTAATGGATAGGAGGAATTTTGTCCTGATAATGAAATCCCATTTCACAAATTGCCACAAGCTGAAAAATAGCACTTGTTAGAAACCATTTCCCTCAGAGATCAACAAAATAGAATATTAATATATCAACCTTTAAGGGAGTATAGCAGTACATTAACATTCAGAGATTGAAATGTCATTTGCCATTGCAATAAGAGAAGAAATTTAAAGAAAATTACTTTCTACTTTTGTTGTGAAAGAAAGATTCTCTTTTGTTTTTGTAGTAGATCAATGACATTTTTTCATTTTGAAGTTATGGTTCCTTAATGTCAGCGAGAAAACTAAAACCCAATGTTGACCTCATTTTTGGTGAGGTCTCTTACTCTTCTTAGAGCCTAGGATTTAGCTTTAGGGTTTTCTAACGACTCTCTTAGAGGACTAGTCCGGAACCCGCACCAACTAGAAATTCGAGCCACTTCTTGACTCCTTGCAGTTTCATATGGTCGGTTCTAAATCCTCAACATTTAGTTGAGTCGATTAAAACCAGCGTGACGTAGCTCAAGTCAAGTAACCATAGGATCTAAAAACTTAGGAAACCCATTGTGTCGTCCGCGCACACTCACGATACACGAATATGACAATTCACGCGTTCAATGCACGTAGTTATTAAAATTCACGTCACTTGCACCTGTAGAAGGCTTCGCAATTGATCAAATCAGAATCAATTGTGGTACCGATCGATCACGAGCGATAAATTTAAAGAAATTTGAATTTGACGCGTTTTCGACCCAACCGTCGACGAAGTCGTTGGGGCGACCCCAAATGACGAAACAGACTGCGTCTGCGAGTCCGGGACGTTGAATTTAGCTAGGGAGGACAACCATTTCGATATGGTTTTGTGCAGGAGCGAGAAGTGCGCAAATCGAGGGAATTTAAATATCATATATATAATGTAGGGGATATATTTGTATTATATAGCAAGGGGGGAGGGGGTCTTTTATTTTAGCCTAAATCCCTAGCTCGCGGCTCCCCTTGGTTCCGTCCCTGGATTGAGCCCTACCCGCGCCTTCCCTCTCGTTGATCCCTTCCCTTCGCGTAACGAGGAGTTGACCTCGTCTCTCTCGACATTCTTTGCCCGAGTCATTTCTTCCCCAAGCATTTTCTGCTTCATCTTGCTGCACGGGAAGCTCTTTCGGGGTAAGTTGACCCTGGCGCCTTTGTTCCCTAAGTCACGAATGTGGCAATCTCCCTCCTTTTCGATAATTCCTCCCTCAATAGCCTTGGTTGCGGTGTGGACTTCTTTCTGCTGGGGTGGCTTCGCCAGGTAAGTCCCGCGAGCCTTTCTTTCCTTCTTCCACACCTATAAAAGCCCATGGGAGGGGATTGTTGTGGGGTTACAAACTGAAAATTTGGGGGAGACTCTGCCGGAATCGCCTTTCGTGCCTGTGAGCCTGGTATTTGGGAAGCCTTTTGATTCTCTTCTGTTTTTCGCAAAGGCTCAAGTGAGGTACCTATTTTCTTCTTCCCCTGCCTTCTTTCTCTGTTCGACAGGGGTTGTGCTCAGATTTCTTTTCTTTATAAGAAAAAGGGAGGAATGCATGCGTAGGGTGGTTTATTTTGTCTCTGCTGGTATTTAATGTTGGAATCATTGTTAGCTGTTGAATTTTTTATTTATCTTGACTGGTATTTAATGCTGGAATCATGACTAGATGTTGGATTTTAGCTGACTTTAGTTTAAATGCATACTGTTGGGCCTATTTAAAATGTTTTATGATGTTTAGCTGGAAGTGTAGGCTCACGAAAGGCATGATTCAATCCTTATGTATGTGCTAGCTCCTTCCTTATGTTCTTATCACATCTATACTGGTATATTGAAATTTCAGAAGGCTAGTTTAGCCCTCTGGGCTGCGGTTTTCCTTGTTGTATTGGTTTGACACTGAGGCTTTGGGAAATTTTATGCTGGGGATTTTGTTCTGGTGTTTCTTTGACGCCTTCTCCCCCCTTTTCGAAACGTTTGTAGCTAATTTCTGAGGTTTCCTTTAGAGTCTTATGTTGGGTGTTGGTTTTGCTCCCTATTGTTGCATTCTCTGTTCGAAATACATGTGCAGCTACAATATGTTTTCTTTTTAAGGCTTTGTGGAATTGGTTTTGGGGGCCTGGTTTTACTCCCTGTTGCTGCCTCCCTGTTTGAAATATATGTTGAATGAAAATTTTGGTTTTTAAAGCTTTTTGGAGTTTGTTTTTGGGGGACTTGATTTTGTTCCCTGCTGCTGCCTCCCTATTTGAAATATATGCAGGATGAAATAGTTGGTTTCTTGGAGGCTTTTGAAGTTTGCTTTGGGGGTTCGGTTTTGCTTCGCTACTATCTGAAATATGAATGCATGATTTTCTTTTGTTTCAAGGCTTTTTTTTGGAGAGTTTTGTGTTGAAGCCGGTGGCTCCCCTGTTGCCCTTAGTCGTGAGTATCTATTTGGTTGTGTGGGTTGCTGCACTTACCCAAGAGCATCCCTGTGGTTTTCTTTTGTCTTGTTCGGTTGTTCTCTGTTGTCCTGGTTGTGAACACCGGGGTTTGGTAGTGTGGGCCGCTGCCCTTACCCGAGGGCATTGGGTTGGTCTCCTTTTGTGTTGGCCAGGTGGTTTCCCTACTGTACCTAACCGTGAGCACTTGCGTTGGTTTCTTGATGTTGTGTAATGGAAGCTTAGTTTGGGATGGAATTGAGGGCTTCAAATATTTTAATCCTTATGCTTGGAAGAATTCGGATGACCCTTTTCGAGGAACGATTTATCAAATGTTGCGAGAGACTCCAGGGCTCAATCTTTTGAGCTGAATTGATTTCAATATAAAAAAAAGAGAGAAATGAGAGATGAGAATTTCTTTGGACATTTTAATGGAAAGCTTAGGGGCGGCCCAGAGTCCTCTATAATGTCTTTTAGAGATGTGTTGGAGTTAGCATTGGGGAGTGTCCCCCATTTCATTGCTCATTCGAGGAGTCCCGCTGGTTGAATATTTTAGGCTAACCCTCCTACCGCTTTGGCTTTCCTTTCTAAATTAATTTTGGAGGCAGGATAGTTTTCTTTTGCTTTTCTTGCTTTTCGGCTTATTTTCCTTGCTTCTTGGTTTGGGTTTTAAGCGCTTATGTCTGAAACATAAGTGTGCATGTATAGTTGTGGGTATATGTGAAACCATTAAGCAATGTCGTAAGTTGGACGGTTTCTTTTTGGGTTTTAAGCCTTGATGATAAAGACATTCGGTGGTAGAGCGGAATAATATTTCATCCCACGACATCAGGACCCAACTTAGGGACCAGGTGAAATGTAGGATAACAATATTATTCATCGACACCATACTAACAGGACACCTTTGCATTCTTAGATTGTTGGTGGTCCTAGACCGACGGTGCGATCGATTTGTGGACAATCATAATTTATAAAAATGATAACAACAAATACGCTATTTACAAAAGTACTTTGACTACAAAAATAGATATTACTTTCTCTTATATGCATGAAACCTATATGCATGACAAAATATAAATTTTAAGTAATATAATTCGATTTTTCACTTGTCAATTGTCGACACTGCGCTAAGGAGTACCTTCCTTAGTTGGTATTGTAGGCAACCTTTCAAGTTGAATGTCGGGATCTATACATACGGGTGACCGATAGTTGCCTTCGGACTCCCTCAAGTATACCTAAATCTGAGCCTAGCATGACTCGAATGCTTACGATTTTCTTTCTTTCCTCGGATTTTTCGTGTGTTTCCTACGGTTTTATTGGGATCTTTGTAGATTATTCGTGATTTCCTCCAAATTTTTCTCGTGTTTTCGCCATGGTTTTCATTGAGTTATCGTGGTTCAATTGTCGCTCTTCTCAATTTTTCCGAATGCTTACGATTTTCTTTCATTCTCTTTTATATAAATTCATGCTTACACATTTCTTAAGTACTTTCATTATTCTCGTTTACTTGTATCTGTGACATTGATCCCATTTACAGCAGCAGCAGACTCGTCAGGTATACAAATTTATTTTATATTTACAGCGTTTCACTTTCTTTACTGCACACTTCACTGCATATATATACAATTCTTGGTTGCGATGCTACTATTTATTGTATATTGTGCTTCGTAGCATTTCCCTTTCATTATTCATGTTGCTTCCACGGACTTGTAGGGACCTTTTAGGATAGAGGACAGTAGGATACCCGGTTTAGGAGGTACTGTATAGCAAGCCATTAACCCAATAATCACATATTTATACGCACCACAACCCCAAACCTATAATCGATATGTTAAGGAGCTTATGTTGACCTCATTTTTTAGGTAATTACTCCTTTCCTTAGGATCCTAGGATCTAGCTCAAGGAGTTCCTATCGACTATCCTAGAAAACTAGAATTGAGACCCACCATTTTTATAAATTTCAGTCACTTTCTATTTTCCTGTGATATCTAGCATTTATTGTCTCAAAACAATCGTTTTATGGACGAGCGGTTAAGGGCTATTGTGTGGAGACTCAGAGGGAAGTTCCCAATAGGACTAGAAAACTAAACCCTAGGAAAAACACTTCATGACTTTATCATCACATACACACACAAAATGCACAAAATTCATTAAATTGCACAAGATCGAACTTAAATTAAGCTCAAATGATGGGTGAAAATGCAAACTTCTCCAAACGACCTCCGATGACAAATTGGACTGCGCCAACGCGTCTGAAACACCAATTTTAGTAGGAAAAGACACCAATATTGTCATATTTCCAACGCAAAAAAATTTGCACGCAAATTGATGAATTCACCAAAACGACATCCGATGACGAAACGGACCATAGCAGCGCGTCCGGAACGTCAGAATTACCCAAAATTGACACCAATTTTGTTACATTTTGACGCACGACTAAAAAGTACGAATTGAATTTTATTTTTTAAGAAATATTAAATTATTTTTATATTTTATCACTTATATTATTAAAATTATAATCATAATCCCTATTTCACCCTTTCACCCGCATGTCTAAACCTTCGTTCGAGCCATCTTAGAGCTCGATCCCGTGGCTCGTCCCACTCCTCGCCCGTGCCCTTTATT